ACACAAACATCAAGCGACTCTGTAAACAGAAACATCAAGGGACTCTGTAAACACGAACATCAAGCGACTCTGTAAACACAAACATGAAGGGACTCTGTAAACACAAACATCAAGGGACTCTGTAAACACGAACATCAAGCGACTCTGTAAACACGAACATCAAGCGACTCTGTAAACACAAACATCAAGGGGCTCTGTAAACACAAACATTAAGGGACTCTGTAAACACAAACATCAAGGGACTCTGTAAACACAAACATCAAGGGACTCTGTAAACACAGACATTAAGGAACTCTGTAAACACAAACATCAAGCGACTCTGTAAACACAAACATCAAGGACTCTGTAAACACAAACATCAAGGGACTCTGTAAACACAAACATCAAGGGACTCTGTAAACACAAACATCAAGGGACTCTATAAACACAAACATCAAGGGACTCTGTAAACACGAACATCAAGCGACTCTGTAAACACAAACATCAAGGGCTCTGTAAACACAAACATCAAGGGACTCTGTAAACACGAACATCAAGGGACTCTGTAAACACAGGCATCAAGGGACTCTGTAAACACAGACATTAAGGAACTCTGTAAACACAAACATCAAGGGACTCTGTAAACACAAACATCAAGGAACTCTATAAACACAAACATCAAGGAACTCTGTAAACACAAACATCAAGGAACTCTGTAAACACAAACATCAAGGAACTCTGTAAACACAAACATCAAGGGACTCTGTAAACACAAACATCAAGGGACTCTGTAAACACAAACATCAAGGAACTCTGTAAACACAAACATCAAGGAACTCTGTAAACACAAACATCAAGGAACTCTGTAAACACAAACATCAAGGAACTCTGTAAACACAAACATCAAGGGACTCTGTAAACACAAACATCAAGGGACTCTGTGAACACAAACATCAAGGGACTCTGTGAACACAAACATCAAGGGGCTCTGTAAACACAAACATCAAGGAACTCTGTAAACACAAACATCAAGGAACTCTGTAAACACAAACATCAAGGGACTCTGTAAACACAAACATAAAAGAACTCTGTAAATACAAACATCAAGCGACTCTGTAAACACAAACATCAAGGGACTCTGTAAACACAAACATCAAGGAACTCTGTAAACACAAACATCAAGGGACTCTGTAAACACAAACATCAAAGAACTCTGTAAATACAAACATCAAGGGACTCTGTAAACACAAACATCAAAGAACTCTGTAAATACAAACATCAAGGGACTCTGTAAACACAAACATCAAGGAACTCTGTAAACACAAACATTAAGGGACTCTGTAAACACAAACATCAAGGGACTCCGTAAACACAAACATCAAGGGACTCCGTAAACACAAACATCAAGGGACTCCGTAAACACAAACATCAAGGGACTCTGTAAACACAAACATCAAGGAACTCTGTAAACACAAACATCAAGGAACTCTGTAAACACAAACATCAAGGAACTCTGTGAACACAAACATCAAGGGACTCTGTGAACACAAACATCAAGGGACTCTGTGAACACAAACATCAAGGGACTCAAGGGACTCTGTAAACACAGACATTAAGGGATTCTGTAAACACAAACATTAAGGGACTCTGTAAACACAAACATCAATGCAGACATTAAGGGACTCTGTAAACAAAAACATCAAGGGACATCAAACACAAACATCAAGGGACTCTGTAAACACAAACATCAAGGGGCTCTGTAAACGCAAACATCAAGGACCCTGTAAACACAGACATTAAGGGACTCTGTAAACACAAACATCAAGGGCTCTGTAAACACAAACATCAAGGGACTCTGTAAACACGAACATCAAGCTCAAGGACTCTGTAAACACAGGCATCAAGGGACTCTGTAAACACACATCTCTGTAAACACAAACATCAAGGGACTCTGTAAACACAAACATCAAGGGACTCTGTAAACACAAACATCAAGGGACTCTGTAAACACAAACATCAAGGGACTCTGTAAACACAAACATCAAGGGACTCTGTAAACACAAACATCAAGGGACTCTGTAAACACAAACATCAAGGGACTCTGTAAACACAAACATCAAGGGACTCTGTAAACACAAACATCAAGGGACTCTGTAAACACAAACATCAAGGGTGTCTGTAAACACAAACATCAAGGGACTCTGTAAACACAAACATCAAGGGACTCTGTAAACACAAACATCAAGGGACTCTGTAAACACAAACATCAAGGGACTCTGTAAACACAAACATCAAGGGACTCTGTAAACACAGACATCAAGGGACTCTGTAAACACAAACATCAAGGGACTATGTAAACACAAACATCAAGGGGCTCTGTAAACACAGACATCAAGGGACTCTGTAAACACAGACATTAAAGGACTCTGTAAACACAAACATTAAAGGGACTCTGTAAACACAGACATTAAGGGACTCTGTAAACACAAACATTAAAGGGACTCTGTAAACACAGACATTAAAGGACTCTGTAAACACAAACATTAAAGGGACTCTGTAAACACAAACATTAAAGGACTCTGTAAACAAACATTAAGGGACTCGGTAAACACAAACATTAAGGGACTTTGTAAACACAAACATTAAAGGGGACTCAGTAAACATAAACATCAAGGGACTCTGTAAACACAGACATTAAGGGACTTTGTAAACACAAATATTAAAGGGACTCTGTAATCACAAACATTAAGGGACTTTGTAAACACAAATATTAAAGGGACTCTGTAAACACAAACATCAAGGGCTCGTGTATTTTATGGATATTTCAAGTACTAAAGTATGACAAAAATTATGCTTGAGGAATACAGAAACAAAAATAATTACTGAATGTGTTATATAAAATTTATTTAATTAGTGTTATTTTTTTTTACGGGCATTAGTCTACCCGGGCACAGTTCAGTGACCCACATCGGGGCCTGGGGGCGGGGGAGTTAATAATAACAATAATAAAAATAATAATTATCCATAGTAAATAAAATTTATAATGAAAAACAAAAAGTTGAAAATAATATAATAAAATAATAATAATAATAATAATAAAAATAATAATAACCACAAAAAATAAAAAAATGAAAAAAAAATATTAAAAGTGAGAAACTATATGTGTGTTGTGTTATGTTGTCAATAGTAAGAGAAACATGAAATGAGGCCCTAAAAACTTTTCTGCTACATTGTAGCAGCTACAACTTAGTCCCCTCCATCAGATTCACTGTGGAATTAGAGCATGACTGTCTGATCCACATAATAGGTAACACCTTTATGTTCAGTATTTATAGAAAACCTTTCTAATGTGTGTTCATACACTCATTATTATCCAGCCCACCATAATAGAATCAAACAGTCAGTATTTTCATCAATGTTTTTACGTGCTTTGAGAATTTGCGGCCCGGAATTCATTGATGAGGAATATGAATATATCTATAATATTGGCTTGAACCTTAAGTACCCTAGATCTTTCATAGACAAATGCCTAAACATTACTAAGAAAACTTTTTATAGAACTGATCCCAAGCCCACCCATGACCATAAGAATATCTTAATATTACCATTTCACAAAAATGTCTCTCAAATTCCTTTACAACTAAAAACCTGGAACATCAATGTGGCATATAAAAACTCATGCACTGTAAAACAAATGTTAATCAAGAACTCCCCCAACAATGCAAGCGGGTGCATTTATAAGGTTCCTTGCAAGGAATGTAATATGTTTTACTTAGGCCAGACAGGTAAAGATCTTGAACTAGAATTAAACAACATAAATATAGTGTTAGGACAGGCCAGGAATCCAATGCTCTGTTTGTTCATCTGGGGGATAATAAACATTGCATTGACTGGGATAATGCCTCCTCAATATTACCTTGTAATTCTATTGACAGTAGGAACATTATAGAATCCAGTCTCAATAAACATACCGAATCCGTCAACATGAATTTGAGTAATGGTATGTATAAACTGGATAATTTCGAAATTAAGAAGATTTGTAACCGGGTAAGAAGGTTGGGTCATCTTACCCTCTGACCTGACTGCCGACTGCTGCGGTGCTTATGAAGATTAGTGGGGTCACTGCCTAGTGACCGGACCATTGTGGACACTCACTGTCCCCTAGGGACTCTACTGTATATATATGCCTTGTTATGTATTTCTCCTTAGTCTGTACTCACCCCTGAAGATGTGAATTACACGAAAGCGCTTGGGAACTTCGTGTTTTCTTCTTTCCTTGTGGTTATCAGCATATATATATATATATATATATATATATATATATATATATATATATATATATATATATATATATATATATATATATATATATATATGTACATTCTTTTCTGTGAGTGAAGGGGAAAGGGTTTTGAAATTGGCGGTAATAGAGTTATGCAATGCTGTATATATGAAAAAAATACGAAACAAATAATAGGTAACTTAAAAAATATATAAGTTCAGAAAGTAATAAATATATAGTATTTTAAATGTTTATAGTCAGTAGGGAGGGAAGGTTTTAAAGTTGGTTGTAATGGAGTTGTGTAAAGCTGGAAATATACCCTCCCATAAATGATTGAAATACATATGAATTAATATTTAAAAAGTAAAAGTCTGTATAAGTTTAGTAAGTATTATATATTGAATATTTTTAATGGTTTTAGAGAGGATAGGTTTTGAAGTTGGCGGTAATGGCTGTGTTTATTGATCTCTCGCCGAGGTACTGTACCTGCAACACACATTACCCACCCTCACCCACCCTGAACAATCTCTTAACATTTAAATCCAAAGGTGAAAGACGATGGTCCATTATCCACCTGCATCTACCTTAATTTGCATACCAGGTGTTCTCTGTAGGTAAATATCACGTATTAATTATTGATACTTCTTGATGGTTAAAGGTGAGTTAGATAAAATATATAAGGTTGGTATGGGTGGTAAATAAAGTACGAAATATTTAGAAATGAGTGAAATATAGTGAAAAATGTTACGTGTTGTAAGGTCAGCTGGTGCTCAGAACGTATCTTGTTTTGAGGAAAATGTCTGCGTCGACCACCACTAAGGGCTTTTCTGGTCTCCTGCAGTTAATTGCTGCTTCTAACTACACTAAAACTAGGTGAGAATAACGATAAACTATTCCACTACATCCCAGAGCTATTAAAATGTCCCAATAATACTGTCAGCATCTATAAAACTTGTTACTTACAAAACAACATGTGACGCTGGGACGGTATTTAGCTTATTATTATTGCTATTAAGTAATGTGATGTCAGTTAATAATGGAAGATAAAACTAATTACTATCTCAAATTTTATATATATGTTGGAGTTAATGGCTGCTTTTTACGTAATAGAAATTACACTTAAATTAATAAAATGATTCCCTAACACTCGCATACTCACTGACACACTCACATACTCACTGACACACTCACAAACCAAAACACTCGCTGATTTTACTTACCTAGTGTATCCTTTTCACCACTGATAGGCTCGTTAGCTGCTTGGGCGGTCGGTCAAGTCTCTGATGTACACTGTTGGCAGATACAGTACTGGGCATGCACTGGTTCCTGCCTGCTCCAGTGTTGGTCAGGTCTGGTCTTGAAAACTCACACTCGGTGCCGTCACAATGCACTCTGGCAGATTGTTCCAAAAGTTTACAATTCTCACTCTAAAAAAATTGGAATTTTTTTTATTAGTTCACACAAAATTCCTACCCTAAATCTATTATCATATTCGAAAAAGACCTCTAATTTTAAGATAGGTTAATATATAGGGCTAATCCGTGGACGAGTTATTTGTATTACTGTTTATTTTCTTACTTTATTATCATCAGTGAGTTCTGATATAGTAATCATTTCTTAAGCAAATGTTGCGTTTTGTAGATAATTAGGCGCCTGGGCACTCACGTCTTCCCGGCGGTAATGAGGCCGTGCTCTGCTGCTACGCTTTTCCCCGGGCTCGCGGCAGTTTCGTTATCAGCATGACGTGTGAAGGTTGTCGCCTGTCTTATATGGACGTAATTTTCAAATTTAGGGATAAAGACAAGACCCTTCAATTGGTCAAATACCACAGCATTGTTTGTTTAAATAGAGACTGTCCACATAGCAGAAATTTCTGTGCTTTCAGACCGGAAATAAATTTGTTCATCACTTCCTCAACACTCGACGTTTCCCTCCTTCACAATAAATCACTCCTCCGCCCGGGCTGCATAAACGTCCAGAAAATGCCTCAAATTTCACCATATCATAGTAAGTTCTTTCTGTTTAAGGAAGTTAGGTAAGGTTAGATAGGTCTGTTTGGTTAAGTTGATTAGGTCTGTTTTTCATACCCACAAATGTTAAGTTACGTTTATTTTAGAAATATCCATTTTTTAAGCAGATTTTCACAAGCTACAACAGTGTCCACTATAAAAAAAACCAGTGAAAATCTGGCGTTTTTATATTCGTTTTCGATAAATTTCAGCAGCGGGTTAGTGCTGAATAATTACCTTAAGAAAATTTTCTTCTATGCAGTATTACATTACCATCGGAAACGTATAATAACAGAGATAGCGCATGCCAAATTTTTCTCTATTTAATTCCATCAATCTTCCCTTCATATATTGTCATGCGTTCCCGTACACATCAAATGGCCAATCAAAAGCGTTCTTCTGTTTGGGCGACCAATTAAAATGAATTGTGGTTTCTGCTTTTAGATTTTGCTGTATTTTTTGCCCAATCTGATTCAATTGTTGTAGGTAGTAGGCAGCTACCAAACAGGGCGGTACTACAGCTTGAGAAGATAGTGGAAGCATAATGTGTTGACCCTGCTGCCATATGTGACCAAGTCCCAGGTTGATGATCTATCTTTCTGCCTCATTTACACACAATTGCAGGGTCTCAACTGTCTCTCTTACTATTGACAACACCACAAATAAAACCGTACTCATTCTTGATCTGTTTTATTCATTCTATTTTATTCTCCAATGTCAGTTGATATTAATACTGAAGCGGGGCCTTCTCGGATGGGTCCCACTGGTCGGAAAGGTTGTGGACCCCAGGGCCGACCTGATCATCATCAAGCTACTGGGGCCTCAACTGACGCTATTGCGGTTGCTGGAGGATCGGCTTTTTTCACACTTCATTTTTCTAACATTCGTGGACTGAGATCCAATTTTTCTTCTGTGGAGCACCATCTATCAACCTCTTCCCCCGACCTCTTACTACTCTCCAAACTTCAACTGACCAAAACAGCTTCACCCAAACCTTTTCAAGTCTCTAACTACAACCTTTTTACCTCCTTCTGTTCTAAGGGAGGTGTATGCGCCTACTGCAACACACATACACCTAACTCTCAAACTAGATCTGTTTCTAGAACTGGTATCATTATATCTATCAATGCGGATCTGTGCAGCATCTCTGAATGGGGAGATACAAACTTGGTTAAGTTCAATAGTAATAAAACTCAATATTACCAATTACACTTTTTAAAGTAGACGATCTCCCACCAATTACATTTCAGGACGCTATCATCCTCCCAAATTTTGAAATAAATATGTTAGGCCTCACCATTTCCTCCAATATGTCATGGAAATCACACATCCTTAGTATAACTAAAGCTGCCTCCCGAAAGTTGGGAATGCTGTACAGATGCCGCAGCTATTTCACTCCTGAGTAGTTGCTCCAAGTAGATAAGGGATTCATTTGTCCTAACTTGGAGTACTGCTCTCATATCTGGGGTGGCTCTTCTGTCCAACTATTAGATAGGGTGGAATTAAAGGCATTTCGTCTTATTAACTCTCCTCCTTTAGTCGACAATCTCTCTTCCCTTTCTCTTCGCCGCAGTGTTGCTTCACTCTCTCTCTCTCTTACAGGTACTTTAACGGGCAATGTTCAGTGGATTTGGCATCCTGTGTACCGCCGGCAAGGCCGTGGGTTCGTACCACACGTCTTGCCCGCGGTGCCCACCATTTCTCTGTGGATGTCGGTCACACGAGAATAACCCGTTATAGTACCTCCTTCTTTCCTCACACAGCCACTCTGTGGAATGCTCTGCCTTCTTCTGTTTCCATACTTATACAATCTGTCTCACTTTAAAAAGCTGGTTTTCCGGCATCTTCGTGGTGTAGATTAATACAGTATAACCTTTTTTTTCTATACAGTGACCCCTTGTTTAACGAACACCTCGGTTAACGTAATTTCGATTAACGAACTGCCTTCCATAAGGATCTTCAATTCGGTTAACGAAAAAAAATTCGGTTAACGAAGTTCTTACGAACCGACCTCAACATGTTTTCGCTTGCACTGACCGGGCAACCAGCTTTAGTATCAGTCCGCCAATACATTAATCGGTTCTAGGGCTTAAATTCCTTACTATTTTAGTAAATATCAAGAAGTTTATACTGTTCAATAATTTTAAAAGTTTAATATTCAATTTTTTAGTCATTTTAACAATTATTGAACATAATTGAAGGTAAAGTGACTAGTTTAATGGGCGGCATCCAGCCTCTTAACACAGCAAACAGGCATTAGTGTCTCTGTTTTCACTGGAGGTAACATCTTGCTTGAGACTCTCTTCAACTAAACGCTTTTTTTCTGTGTTTCCAAGCAAATTATTGGTCATTTTGAAATATATTTTATATATTGACAATATATAATGCAGTGCAGTGTTGATTTAAAGAAAATAATCTTGAATTACACCAGAGAGCTAAAATTTTATGGGTGAAATGGCGCCATGGGGTGACTTCTCTTCCACCCCAATGCCTTCTCTTCTTCCTTCTCCTCCACCCCCATTCTAAATCCCATCATCATGCCTTCTACATACACACTTCAAAGTAAGTGAACTTTTCTACCATTTTTGTTGAATTTAGGAAATTTTCCGGTGAGCTGGAACCAATTACCCAAAAACCCATTGAAACAATGGTTTCGGTTAATGAACTTTTCGGTTAACGAACGACCTTCTGGAACGGATTGAGTTCGTTAACGGAGGGGTCACTGTATTTACAATTTCTTTCCGTTCTTTTTTTTTCGCCCCCCAGGCTCCGTTGTGGGTCGTTTGACCTGTGCCCGGGTGGGCTAATTCCCGTAAAAAAAAATCGTGATTTTGGATCTCTCATGCTTCGAAATTCAAATTCATTTCCGACCATGGAACTTTGCAAGTACCACTGTACAGTACACAGGTACCACTGTACAGTAGACAAGCTCCACTGTACAGTACACAAGTACCACTCTACAGTACACAGGTACTACTGTACAGTACACAGGTACCACTGTACAGTACACAGGTACCACTGTACAGTACACACACATGTACCACTGTACAGTACACACACAGGTACCACTGTACAGTACACACACAGGTACCACTGTACAGTACACAGGTACCACTGTACAGTACACAAGTACCACTGTACAGTACACAAGTACCACTGTACATTACACACACAGGTACCACTATACAGTACACAGGCACCACTGTACAGTACACAGGTACCACTGTACAGTACACACACAGGTACCACTGTACAGTACACACACAGGTACCACTGTACAGTACAGGCACCACTGTACAGTACACAGGTACCACTGTAGAGTACACACACAGGTACCACTGTACACCATCTGTGAGGGAATTACTACACCACGTGAGGCCCCTCATAACACCATCTGTGAGGGAATTACTACACCACGGAGGCCCCTCATAACACCATCTGTGAGGGAATTACTACACCACGTGAGGCCCCATAACACCATCTGTGAGGAATTACTACACCACGTGAGGCCCCTCATAACACCATCTGTGAGGGAATTACTACACCACGTGAGGCCCCTCATAACACCATCTGTGAGGGAATTACTACACCACGTGAGGCCCCTCATAACACCATCTGGGAGGGAATTACTACACCACGTGAGGCCCCTCATAACACCATCTGTGAGGGAATTACTACACCACGTGAGGGCCCCTCATAACACCATCTGTGAGGGAATTACTACACCACGTGAGGGCCCCTCATAACACCATCTGTGAGGGAACTACTACACCTTGTGAGGTCCCTCCTAACACCATCTGGGAGGGAGTTACTACACTACGTGTTTGCTGTTCAACACCTACAATAATCTGTGTTCACTGTATG